TTGAACAGGTGTTCCTAATAATCCTTTAGGTGAGTGTATATCTGAAAGGCTACAGCCGCTACACATGAAAAAACTATCAGAGGGGGAACAGAAATGAAGCAAAGGAAGAAAAAAGAAAATCTTTATTTTACCTATAATAGAACGGCACCACTTCACACATCAAAAATCTGAAGTGCAAAACATTTCAATGTTAATAGAAAGAACAGTAATATACTCTCGCAGTGAAGGACTTGCATCTTTAATTCACAGCAAATATCCCAGGAGGAGCAGATACGACAGATTCTAGAAAACAGATAAGATAAATGAATATTTCCATATTCCTCACATTACCAAGCGCAATGCCAAGTGTCAGACACAGTCATGTAAAGCAGGCCATCACTGGACTCTGGACCAGTGGAAACATGTTCTGTGGAGTGATGAATCACGCTTCCCTGTCTGTCAGTCTGATGGATGAGTCTAGGTTTGGCGGATACCTCAAAAGCATTACCTGCCTGACTGCACTGTGCCAGCTGTAAAGTTTGTTGGAGGAGGGATTATGGTATGGGGTTGTTTTTCAGGGGTTGGGCTAGGCCCCTTAGTTCCAGTGAAGAGAACTCTTGATATTTCAGAATACCAAGACATCTTGGATAATTCTACGCTTCCAACTTTTTGGGAACAGTTTAGGGAAGGCTTAAAACGTCGGCTTAAATTTTACGATCGTGACAGCCCTAGAAATGATTTTTTTATTTTAGAAAACAGAATGGGGCAAGAGTTCTGGAAACATTTTTGCACACCCTCTTTTGTCATACTTATCCAGGCTTGGACATTACTAAAATCAAATTCCATACTTTTCCATACTGCTTAAGGAACCCTTGATTCTGTTAATGGGAAACAAAGAATGATCATAGATGATATGCATTACATAACACAGCAGAGAAAGGAAGAGACTGTTTTACCTTCATAAGGATTCAAATAAATCCAAATGTATCCCTGACTCCACATACTCTATGAAGGTTGAGTAGGACACAGGGGCAGACACAGTATCACCTCACACGTATTAACCTCTGGAATAGTCTTTGATTCCCATCATTACAAACTGAAACTGAATGGTTGGACGGTGGGGAAACCCAAATACCACCCCTCTCCTGAACACGAATTGACAATCATAGGCTAGCATGCCATTCTGACCTCTTGCAATGAAATGACTCGAAAAGATCAATACGTCGTGTGGGTAAGGATTTATCTTTCGGTGATCCTCCTCCTGAGTCCCCTGAGCGTAATTTTGATTGGTCAAGGTGACTCTTTGGGCGTGCAGACTACTAGCTGAAAGAAGGTACCCCAATAGCATACTGCTGCAGACTCGCAGCACTGTTCTCAGGCCCCACACTCTCACGTGGCACATGACGGCAGGGCCTGAGAATTAAATAAAATAACTGAAGTTTGACAGTAATCAGTGTTGAGTGCAGTTGTGAGGTTAACACTGCCTGGTTCTAAATTCTATCCATGATGGTGAAGATGTTTTGCCAATATAGTACACGGTATCAGCAAAGTAAATATTAGCAGAAAAGTATAATACATAATGTCACGTCCACATAACAAATGGATAAGGAACGATTAGCGATGCAGTTTCTTTCAGGAAAATCCCTTTATTCGGGGAAGCACACACGGACCAGGAGCATGATACGGAACAATGACCGGACTGAGGAACATGGGACTAGGGAACACTTACATACAAGAGTAAAAAGAGGGGAAAACACCAGGTAACAATTAGTGATTAACATGAGGGCAGAACACGAGGTAAGACAAGATGACCCTCAGGCGTGGCTATTTTGGAGCCCAAGGGGAGTGAACACGGCGGGCGGGGCTGGACGTGACACATAAGCTTAAAATGTACACTAAGGAAATATTTGGGTGGCAATTTTTTAATGGGCATGAAACATCTGCCTTGCAATTTCTAAGGGCTCCAAGAGAATGTCCATCCCAAAGCACATGCTGTGGTCGAGGGGATCAATTCTTCCATGAAGATGTTGGTAAACACGGCTCTGTGCGTAGAGCCTCAGGTGTCTCTGGAACATCAACTGTCCCTTCGGGGTCTAATGGTGTTGGTCCTTCCCAATCAATTCCATAATCTTCCAGATTCCCCTAGATCAGAGCAAAATGTCGTCACAAAAATATTTTGAAGTCTCTCACCTCTCAACTATGACTGAGTAAGATGTACATTTATACAGTAAATGTATAATTGCTCCATGGCACCACATTTGTAGTGTATTTAGTTTTATGTCATATATCCACAGAATGACATAATACAACTTGTCATTGTAAATAAAGATGATTCTTAGACTGACCTGCTCATTGACGGGGTCAGAGATTGGATTGTTGCTCATTAATTGCCCTTCAATCCACAGTTGCTGAGGTGACCTTCCTTGCTCTGTGGAAAGGGAATGGCGATCCTATGCTTGCTTAAAAAGCTGCAAATGTGCATTAATTCGGGGCAGCATCAGATAATGCAAACAAATGAGGTCAAGCTCATTCTCAGGGTTTAAAGCAGCTGTGGGGCAGAATGTTGTTGGAATGCTGTATGGTAGTTCACGGTCACAGCACAGCAAACATCTCTCCAGAGCCTCTCCATTCTCTGATTATGAACACTGCATCCAGTTATGAAACTACTTACTCCTGAGATAGGAAAAGAGAAATGACAACAGAAATGCATGTTGCATTATTTAGAAATAAGACAGATCAACAGAAGTGTGAAATATTTTTCAGTGACTACAATACTCAATTCAAAATAGAGATATAATTTTAAAATACCCCAAAAAGCAACCCACGAGAACCAAACATGGCTCATACTGATCAGTCTGATTTGTGATATTTATCAAAAATGAAACGTGGCCAGTCAGTCATACGTCAGTGTGTATATCAGGCAGATGGTGGGGGGAAAAGTGCTGTTTGTCAAAAACAAAGTGTTTTTGACCACTTGTCTGTGATGTAGCCCATGTATTATCCTGGTATGTGGCCATATAGGTAAATAAAGTGATAATATGTGTACAATTATGCAATAATAGTTAATACAAGACTAATGTATATCTGTGGATTTTTCACAAATCACGTTTTGTCAAAAACAACATGGATATTGTGATTTGGGTATTTCCATTATTAGTAATTAAGCTTTATGTGCAAAAACTGCCTATAAAAACTGCCTTGCCATAGCAGGTAGTACTGCTTGATACACACACTGACCTATGACAGACTGACCACGTTTGATTTGTGAAAAAAAATCACACATAAGACTGGCCAGTATGAGCCTAGTTTGGTCCTTGTGGATCACTTTTTAGGTGTTTTGCTATTATAGATCTCCGGTAATTCTACTTAGCTATGGAGTTTGATTAACTGAAATGTGCAAAAATAAACAAAAAAAATCAGCTAAAATATGTCAGCGATTTTTTTTTCCATAATCGCGCATATCAGTCACTATGGAAGAGGATTAGGGCCACCATCAAAAATATTATTTGAATTCTGACTTTAATCTCAGAATTCTGACTTTTTTTATCTGAGATTAAAGTCAGAATTCTGAGATTAAAGTCAGAATTCTGAAAAAAAAGTCAGAATTCAAATAATATTTTCATGGTGGCCCTAATCCTCTTCTGTAAGTCACTGACAGCGGAACTGGACTGTAGAAAAAATTCACAAATCAGACTGGTCAGTATGAGCCTAGTTAGACCTGTTTATATGGTAAATTTTTCATTATTCACTCTTGAACATAAAAAGGCAAAGTATAATATCAGCAGATTTCGGGATAGGGGGGTGACAGCATCTGAATACACAAATCATGAGGAACAAAACGCCACTATTTACTAACATACACGTTACTGTACAGTAGAGATAAATTGAATGGGATCCCTAATCGCTATATATGCAAACTATACCACGGTGATCTGCCGTATATGAAAGCGTGCTATACAAAGAAACTTTGAATTAGTCTACTTCAAACGGCAGGGGTGCTAAGAGTACAATGTAAAGTTGTACAATGTAAGTACAACAACAGAAGTACAATGTAAAGTTGAATTGATGCATACAAATGTTTTGTTGGGTGAGCAATCGACATTGTGACTGTCAAAATAGATTTGTCACAAACGAATGTTTTGTTACGTGCTCAGTCGACGTGGACAGTGTACTAATGACATATTTTTGGCACAAATGGAACGTACAAATGTATATCGACGCATTTTTGGCACTAATGGAGACAAGAGAAGTGCTTCGTAAGGCGTCGATACATCGGCTCAATACTTCGCGATGATGTTTTGAGGTGGTTTGACTATGTAAGCGGTTACTCGTCTGTAGCCGAGTTGCACCTGTCCGATCCCGCCCCTGTGGGCGTGACAAATATTGATATCGACTGCTCACCTGAGGAAACACTTGTCATACTTGTCATCCTAGCATGCCCTGTCGTTGGACTCCTTTATTGCATATTAACGAAATATGTCAACACGTCATTTTGTGTCATATCCTCGTCGTTTGACTGCGTCGTTATGCATGCTGTCATGCCCCGATTGTGCCGTTCCCCTTGTGTGCCACGCCCCCTCATGTACCCCGTGTGGAATCCCCATGTTATCAGCTGTCCCTAGTTGTGTTTAATTAGTCCAGTGAACGTTTCCCCAGTCTGGTCATTGATGTCATTCCGTGTTCCTGAGTGTTTCTATTCCAAATAAACCCCGTGTTCGCCTGACTTCTCCGCCTGCTGTGTCTGCTTCCCCGCTTTGAGCCAAGACACATGTCAGCCGGATGTGTCATCTATGGCATCTATGGAATTTGTAATTGGAATTTGTAATTGGAGTTCATATATTAACAATATGAATTTCATTTATATACAATGCAATTCTTACTAGTAAGAATGATAATTTTTACTAGCAAGAATTGTATTTTTGCTAGTAAAAAAAAAATATTATAGAGCTCTATAATTCAATTTTTACTAATCATATATTCCCATTGACATCCATGGTATTTTTGGTTCATATATCCTTAATTCAGTTTTTACTAGTAAAAAGTTATATTGTAGAGATCTACAACTCAATTCTTACTAGTAAGAATGATAATTGTATATATCTGTATTTACATTTTGACTAGTGAGAATTCCAGGCCCACATATCCATAATTGAGTTTTCACGAGTAAAAATTTCATTACAGATTTGTAGAGATCTGAAATTACACATATCCAGAATTGTGCTTTGCCTTTTTATTTTCAAAAGTGAATAATAAACTTGACCATATGAACAGGTCCAACCAGGCTCATACTGAACAGTCTGATTTGTGAATTTTTTTCACAGATTTTTGTACATTTCACTTCATTGAACTATATGGCTAAGTCATAGTGCAGGACATCTAATACCAAAACACCCCAAAAAAAAGTTACCTTCAAGGACCAAACTAGGCTTATATTGACCAGTCTGATTTGTGATTTTTTTTCACAAATCAAATGTTATCAGTCAGTCATTGGTCAGTGCGTGCATCAAGCAGGTAGTAGGAAAAGAGGCTGTTTTTACACTTAAACCTTAAGAACAATGAACAGCTCCTGGATCACAATATCCATGTCGTTTTTTGGCAAAACGTGATTTGTGAAAAATTTACATATACAGCTGTAAAAAAAATGAGACCACTGCACAATTTTTTTGTCTCACTCATTTCTCAATTTATGGCTCTGTGTCTGTGAATAATATATTTTCTTCTGCAAACTGCAGCCTGGTTCTTCTCTGTTACTCATTAATGAAGGGCTTCTTCTTTGCTTTATGGGACTTCATGGGACAGTCCTGCTTCTGGGAGCCTGATACAGACTGTCCTATCAGTGCACTTCACACCTGCACCATTTCCCATTCCTTTTGAAGGTTACTTGATTCATTCTCCGATTCATGAGAAACTGTCAGATTAACAGTCATCTCTGGTATTAGAAAGTCGTTTTCACCCTTTACCTGACTGGTTTCTGGTCATTCCCAGTGTCTCCTGCTTCATCTTATTTTTGTGTGCTGCTGTCTTAGAAATTTTCAATGTGGTACCTGCTGCTCAGCGCAGCCTTTTGCCAGCTGAATCATGATAATACCAGGATTAAAAGTGGTCTTGAAATTTTTTCCATGACTGTATATTTGCATACATGTGATCACTTCATTTACGTCTATGGCCACATGCCATGGCAATATATGGGCTACATCACAGACCAGTGGCCAAAACACCCAAATAAGGGACCCACAAGGATGGAACCAAGTTCATAGTGACCAAATGGGGTCAACCAGTTATAGGTGTTTGTATTAGATCTCCTGCGATTCCAATTATCCTGAGAGTTCAATGAATTGAAATGTGAAAAATAAACAAACAAATTGTCACAGCAGGAAGCCAGGGACAACAGGAGACCCAAAATGCAGGAGAACCCTGAACAACCAAAGCCAAATCGCACTACCAAAGTCGTTGTCAGGAGAGTAGACCCAGGAATCCGTCCAACGATGAAGCACGAGACCAGGAACAGGGACGCCAGACAATTTCCACTCCTAAACCTTGTGGACAGCCTTCCCAGAACAGTTGAAGCTGTTATATCTGCAAAGGGTGGGCCAACTCCATATTAAAGGCTATGTATTAAGAATGGGATGTCATTAAACGTCATGTGTGTGTAAATGCAGGTGTCCCAATACTTTTGATAATATAGTGTATATGGGTTTGATATGAGGCAAGGCAACAGCTGGATTTCATACATCCATTTGGTTAATTTTGGTGATACAACCTAATGTGTCTACTTTATGCCAGTGAAAAAAAAAACGTTTTTGATACATATATACAATTAAGCCGATTTTGATACATATATACAATTAAGCTCGATGGGCCGAATGGCCTCCTCTCGTTTGTATAGTTCTTATGTTCTTATGTTCTTAAATTATATTGCCATGATTTCTATTAAAAACCATGGAATGTTGATCGGTGATTCTCAAATACATTAATCCTCAGCCAATGTTTGACATCCTCAACAGTCCATTTAGACACATCTGTCACACTAAGAACGAACAAAAACAGAAAACTATGTATACAACTGGAAAGACTTGGCTGGTTTTAATCAGCAAAAGTGCTTCAGTCTATGCAATAGTCCACTACATTATCATTAGAACACAGATAAAACATGTTTGTAAGGACAGAGGGAATTTCTTTCTTATTGGAGAATGTCCCAGAGTGGAATTCTATTTTTTGTGGAATAGACAAATTTAAATATGTAGTGTATTGACAGACTTGAAACAATTTGAAAGTGAGTCTTATTTCTTCATAAATGCAAGTCGAGATAAAAGTCAAGAAGAAAAATTTCCATCTATAACAAAAACCAGGAATTTCCATATAAAAAAGAATTTGTATCCTATGAGCTGCAGTGCATGCTTTAACAAATAATGTAAGCTTTCCTACTCATTTTATTTAACTCAGTTCAAATAACTTTCTTATTTAAGTCAAGTCAAGTGGGACTATATTGTTGTGCCAGCCATACACAAGTATACAGTGGTATGAGACATTGTTCCCCTGGGACCACGGTGCAACGTAAGACACATTGGGTATGTACACAATTACACAATGCAGATTAACACAAAATATATATGACATTGTAGGAGGTCAGACACACAGTGTATACATGAATAGTTACCACTTTACAATAAGGCTCTCTTTTGCCACTTGTAAATGGTAGTGACTCATTAATAGAAAGAAAACTGTTATAACTTGTTTAAAATAGTCTATTATTAATAATTTACAAAGTGCTACAACCTAATTAATAACCAGATTATAAACCATTCATAAACTCTTTATATCGGTAGACTTATTGTAAAGTGGCGCCCATGAATAAACTGTCTGTACATAATACAGCAGCAGGAATGTAGCAGAATATAAATATGGTATGTAAAATATGTAACATGAATAGAATGATGTGTGTAAGCTGTGTGTAAATCTGTACATAACAATATTGAATATAACCTTTGTGTACATATTTACAGTATGTCAACCATGCAACATAAATAGATGTGGTATGTGAGCTACATATACATCATATACTGTAGTATGGTATGGTATAGTAGACCAGCAGATAATGTAGCAGCAGATAACAAAAAGGTCAAAATTAGGCATCTTAATTCTTATTTAGTCATTGAACTTAGCCCCATTGGCAGTATGACATTAGACTTCTTGTTAACTTGGGCACTGGCATGTCAAAGCAAAATGGAATTATGTCATAACTGGGTTTATCTTGGGGAAAGAAAAGGTCTCCGCACACCTCAATGAATGACAAATGGGTTCTTAATTAGAAAAAAGAGAGGAACTCCCGTACTGACACGTTTACTGCAGAAATACACCATAATAAATTTCTGTAGTTTCCACAGTATTGCTGGTGTTCTGTCGATATATGCTGCCTTGTGGAAAAATGCTACCGTAGTGCTAATCGATAGCCCTAGCCCTAACTCTTACCCTAACCCTAACCCCCCAAACCCCCTTACCTTAACCTTAACCCCTAAAACCTAACCCTAATCCCAAAACGGTGGAACTGCACATGCACAGAAAGGCTCAATAGCACATCTCGATGAGTAGGATTTTATGACAGAACACCGGCGAGATGGGTCCAAATAGCGGAGCCCAGTTAGTGTGCTGATCGTGCTGGGAGCGCTTGTAAATAGCCCTGCTTGTATGTCTTGTAAATAGTTGTATTTGTTAGTGTAAACACCTGCTTTGCCCCCGAGTATCGTCTGTGAATTAACCTGTGTTGTATGTGTTAGGACTGCAATGGGACCCGAAGCTGCGTCAGCGCGCAGCAGTGCCGTCACACTCTAAGGCAGGGGTCTCAAACTCCAGTCCTGGAGGGCCATAGCCCTACACAGTTTTTGGTTCACCCTCATTTAACACACCTGATTCAACTCTTTGTGCTAATTACCACACGGCTCTTGAGCTGGATCATTTGTGGTGGAAGGGGGAAAGAACTAATCTACACAGGGCTCCGGCCCTCCAGGACCGGAGTTTGAGACCCCTGCTCTAAGGCATACGACGTGCTTGGTGGAAGCTTCCAGAATAGGTATAAGTTCTCTCGCGCTTCGAAGAGGTGACCTCGCAATTATCTCACCATTAGTCTCTTCTAATAATGTAGTGTTTCCTGCCCACGGTTATCTGTGTGTGTCAATGTCGTTCAGTGGCTAATATTCGTTCTGTATTTGACGTAGTTAGTTTAATTACTGGACTAACAGTGTTTGTGTAATATCATTTACACGGGTGTTTCCTGTATTCCTGTACCATGTTATGTTCGTGTATCTGTTTGTATTACGTTGCCATCATTGTACGGGGAGATGATAACTTTATTACCACAGTTATTCGCCTATGTTGGCAGAATGCACTCCGTGTATCACATGCAGACTCGGCTGTAATCCTTAGGCGCCATCTTGTGGTTAGATGGTGTTGTAGAGCTGCGGTGCGGAGGAAAAAGAGAAAAGAGGCAGTCACCACAAGCCAAGCGCCA